TTTCTAATTGTCTGTACATTGAAATAATATCCTGTTGCGGCTACAAACATCTGATTCAGTCTTCAAGCAGGTGTTTCACTAAAGCGGTGACCAAGAATCGACAGATATCGGTCATTTGCTTCTGTTGTGGTTCTATATAGACGTCATGAAACTACGCCATTGGTACGTAAATAATTCCACATTATGCTAACACCAATTATTGGTACGTAAATAATTCCACATTATGCTAACACCAATTATTGATACGTAAATAATTCCACATTATGCTAACACCAATTATTGGTACGTAAATGATTCCACATTATGCTAACACCAATTTGGGAAACTTGTAGTCAATTTGCACAACCTGCTATAACTAGCTGGTTTTTATTTGTCTGAGAGCTATTTTCATGCACAAGCCAAATATCCAGAAGGCTTCTTTGATATTTATACATAGTTTAAGAACATGTAGTTCCATTCAAACTAACAAATGATCAAGATTTTACATTTCATAAGCTTAATGATAAATTGTTTGTTTGAAGTTAAGCACAAAGTTATGACAATGGGCTATCTGTGCCCTGCCCACCACGGGTATCGAAACCTGATTTCTAGAGTTGTAAGCCGCAGACATACCGCTGTGCCATTGGGGGGGGGGGGGTTAATGCCAAATAATTTGCATTTCAGATGCCTGATGAACAGGGGCTACTTGACATTATTTTAGAAATGAGTGGTTTATGCCTTATTTATTATATGTATATTAAAAACTGATTATATTTTGATTGCTTTGTGCAAAACATGTGGTAGACCTTATACTAAACGTGTATGAACCAATTTCAATCATTTATAGATTGCATTTTCGACAACTCTCGTGTATCCTATGTTAAAAATGAATACAGATATTATAACAGCCTTGTGGAAACAAAACTCACCTAAAAGATGTGAATTTTCTACAAACATATAGCTTGATTTTAAAATGAAATATACATCTCAAAATTGAAGTTTCAAATCAAGAATATGGGCGTAGCTAAACGCAAGCTCACTTCGGGTATGTATTTATATATATATACGTATACCAGGAAGAGTGGTAAACATGATTAGCAAGCATGTAAAATTTATGCCTGTCGTGTCCAGTTATAAATGACATGAAAATGATGTGCTACATCATTATCAGGTTCTTGTTTATTAATTAAATTTGTGGAATTAATTTTAACCGTTTCAACTGTCTGAACTAAGCGACCGTGCCTCACCGTAAGAAGCTACTCGGGATTATGCATCTGGTTTTGTTTTTTTTATAGGGTTGAATATTTATATGAAACCCGGTAGTCTCATGAATCACTAAGTACATGTGTAAGGAAATAAGCTAACATGTAACGCAATAAATTACAATTAGAAATATACAACTCTAGTCAGAAGTATGCAGAATAAGTTTGTGCTTCATACGTGAAAAATAACATTTTATGGAGTACATTTGTTTTGTACATTCGCTCAAACCGCAAAATCTTGTCACACCTTTTCCCCGAATTTTTTTTCCACAAAAATCTGTATACATCTGAATTATCTGGAATTTAACCTCAACTAACTTTTACAAATCTCTAATATTTTCCCCATAATCTACATGAAAGCGTGTTTAAATAAACAACTAAATTATCTTGATTTTGCAAGTACAATATATTTATTTCAGATTGACAACCGAACAATTAAAGCATAATATGCTTACAAATGTGAAAAAAAAAATATATTGTTTGCACTTCCTAGTAAATTTTGTTTTATATCACTGGAATATAAACTGCATAGTAACATTAGGCTTACATAAATGACTTAAGCTGCTTTTCAAAGGTTTTGTATTTGTAGCTGTAGCAAATAAATAAATGAAATTATGATTATACTCTTCATAATAATTCACTAACGAACATGATACAGATGACGGTTCTAGTTTGGAATAAAACATCAACCATTTGCGTGCAGTTATTATGTTTAATTTATAAAGATAGCAAAAGCGAGTTTTTTTTTTTCTCAACCGGTTTAAATGCCTCAAGTACAATAGCAAGCACACACATGATACGTTATTTCAGACACAGTCATTATACAAACAGGTATAGCGTCTAGTTCTCCTTGCTCTTGACAATTCTCCTGCTTTCATTTAGTGTTTCATTGTCGTGAATGCCTTGCGGTATGGCCATTACTCCTTATTAGAGAAAAGTGCAAAGCTAGATTCAGCTTATATCCTTATATTAAGTCATGAGCTGTTTACCTTTTCCGTAATATTGATATTCAACGATACAGTTCATTCCAGTTTGTTGGACTACACAGACAAGTTTTTTTTGTTCATCGTAGTTCACACATCATTAATGGCATAGCAAGTTTTCTATACAATTGTCTGTATATCGAATTTTACAAACTGAGTAGGAAGTTTTAACCTTGTTGTAGAACAATAACCGGAAAGTTTAATCTGTCTGAAGAAAGTGTGAAGAGAAACGACAACATGAATAGAATCGTGTAAACCTGGTGGAAAGTAAGAAAAACCTCAGGAAAATTAGATGCTATAGATACTCTTAGAAATTGGATGAGGTTAGCTGACATCACGACAAGTACTTCTGAAAGCATTTTGATCAATACGAGATGCAAGTAAAAGTCAGTGAAGAGTCGTGTGGGCTAGTCTTTCTAAAGCCACCTTGATGATTTAATCTCATACTAGCTTACTTTGTTCTTTATTTCAAATTCTGGAGTTTTTCTTATATAATTTGGAAATAAATAAAATATAAACCAACTCAAAAGGGATAGCAGAGAAAATATGTACACAAGATACCATGATAACTCTGATGGAATGTCGAGTATGTGCATGTATATTCCATTTTTAGCCTTTTTATGCTTTATTAACATTCTTTTATTGTTCTTTTGAACGCTTGACACTGTTTTTAAACCTTAAAAGTGTGTTGCTTAAAACTAAAGCGTATTTTAATAAAACATTTAAATCAAAACACGTGATCATGAGCGTTTATTTTTTCGGTCGTTGACGATATTTATAAAGCATCATTGACGATGTTATAAAAGCAACTAACTTAAAAGAAATAATTAAAGAAAAAAAATACGGAATCATATAATCCGAGCGTTTTCCAAAGATGGACCTTTTTTCATCGAGGGTAAACTACAAATGTTAAAGCATCATGTAGTTTAAAACTATCGATACTATACACTTTTTTGAAACATACTGGTAGTTTTAAGTCACATAATAAGGCACAATTATAACTTCAAATAGTGTGGTTCGCATATTGTTATACATTGTACTTTACTTTCACTTTTAAGTTCTTAGAATATGATTTATTTGACCCTGACCTTCTGATATACACAAGTCTAATACGGGGAGTTCCCTCTTTCTCAATAAATACACTCAGACTATACTGAATACGTAAACAAAAAATTGGCAGTGTTACTTTACTACGCCCTAATATTATTACTCTATGCCAAAAATTAGTTCATTCACGTTATCAGTTCGTATGCTTACGTAACTAACTGATGAGTGTTATGAAATGCATTCTTCTAGTAACCATGGCGGATTAAACAAAGTCGTCAGGTAGATATAGATATTATGATCGTAAAAAATAGGATCAGTATTTGGGATTTGTTATTGCTCACTTGGTCGTTTTTTTTTGTTTTTTTTGTTAGTATAGAAGGAAGTACAAAAAAGATAACAAAATATTTATCACCAAGAGGCCATCGCTCTATCAACCAAATCATCAGAACCAAATTAACTGTAGCCTTTGTGAATTCATAACCTATCGAAACATGTAGAAAATGAGATGGATTTAACATTTAAGAATATTACGTCTTATTTGAACTGTTCATTCTGCGTGTTAAATTAATGTCCAATAACGTACACAAAGTAATAATTGCACAACTCCTAAAACGTATAATGAACTAATATAAACTGCCTAAAATTGAAAATACGTAATAATTATTCTATAAAACTCCAAATAAAATATACAAAAAACGCCAGATATTCAAAAATCCATTAAAACTTTTATCTTTTGATTTTATTTAATACTTCAACATACGAATCACAAATAATTTAAGCAAAAGTCATCAAAATTGCAATTAGCCATACTAATTGCTACTAGCCCCTACCTCTTATTTATTCTAATTAGAAGAACGGTGATTTTTTTTCTTTATCATTTCTTTACAAAGAATGCTGTAACAGGAAGAAACATAAATTACTCAATAAGTTACCATGTGTGGAAACCATCGGTAGTGAAAACAAGAATCATTTTAATAAACAAAAGTTTGTGTGTGTGTAATGAGAAGTTATCTCTTTGTGTAAAGTACACACGTTCATCTGCCTTCTTGATCAAGGTTCTAAAACTGCTAGATAAAACCAGCACGTAGTGTTTTGAAAATACTTCAGATCTTTGTCTCAAATTATTAATAAAACTACCTAAATACTTTCAAATGTAAAACCACTATTGTTTGTTTCAACAACATATCGTAATTTCTTACTCAAAGGTATTCTGTGGTCTCTAGGGAACAGTAAATCGAATTGTTTTAATCTTCTTGAGAGGTCAAAGTCCTGTTCTTGAAACCACTGGTGAAAAACGAGTTCATACGACCAACTCTCCAATCGTAAAAATGTCAACAAAACGTTTAGAATGTTCTTCCATTACTGACCTTTGTGGCTAGGACATTGTATTATATTTCATTTATTGCAAATGGTCTGAGTAATTACAGAGATAGCCGTAACTTTTCACAAACTGAAAACTTTACGATGTTGAAATGTCCATACAGTGGTCATAACTCATGGCCCCTGGTATTGGTCAGCCAACAGATAACGAGGTAAGTCATCCTTTCCGAGAACAATGACCCCGCGGTGTCTGTGAAATGAGCGCAAATCATCAGGGGTGCTGTCATTCAAAACGACACTAGGTAACACACCCCCTATAGAGTATTCTTAAGCACTTCAATGGCTACTTTGGGAAAACTAGTGTTGAGAAGGAAAGTTCACGTGTCCCCTCCTCCTTCTTACACTACAGGTACGACATCAATTTGGCTGCTATGATGAAGTTCAAGACACTGATGACCGTCGTGTGCGTCATTGTAACTGGGTGCGGTTCCTTCGAGTTTCTTCAACGTTTTGTCCGGAAGTCAACCTTATCGGATCATTAGTCAAAGGTGAACCAATATATGAGGTTATACGAAACGTTGCACCAAACACGGAACTGGTAGTTTACTACGAAACATTAGAAGAAGATTGTGGAACTCCATTTTCGTTTCTTGCTGCTCGACATCTCACTGCAGCTCACTATCGGCATGCCATCGGACTGGTCTTAGAAGGTAAGAATATCTTATTACTTTCAAAACTTTTTAATGCTTTAATTCCAAAATTATATTATTAATAATCGGTTCACACTATGTTATTGTAAGTGTATATACATAATTCTTTCTTTAGCATTTTAATACAATCTTTGCTGAGCGAATGTCATGAAAAATTCTAATGATTTCCGTAAAATCTTACCCATTTCAAAGTATGATAATGCAAAACAATTCATTCTGCTAATGTACCTGGTATTTTATGTAATAGCTTAAATGATAAAATAAGCATTTAACTACATAGACGTTTAACCTGACGGTCTGTTAGGTTAACATGATTTTTTCGTGTTTGTAAACACATTTGTTACATTTTGTTTTGTATTTAGAATACTTTCTGACGTTTCCATATTGATCGTTTTTTCAGTTCTATTCAATTAATCCTCTGGAGGTACTTCAGTTCTGATTGTTCAGAATATATATAAACTGATAAGCTCATATATTCTACACAGAAATAAACAGACGAACTAAAAATATCTTCCAATTTAATACAGATCTACGATTCTATATGGGAATGTACTTGTGCGCGGTCGTATTAGAGTTTGACATTAATGTTCTGAATCTCATATAAATGGCATGTTTTTTGTACAATTTAATGACATTTCAGTAGCAACAGATGTTTACTTCATGGATGGAATTTCGTGCCTATCTAGCGCAACATAATTTTCAGTAAGTTTTAGTTCCCGTTGTGAGAATGTGTTTAGAGTTTTGTGGATAATCAGAATGAGAAGTTACGTTTTGATACTACATAAAGATTCTGAGAAACAAATAGATAGGCAGGGTCTAGTACAGTATTTGTGTAAAAAAAGGAATTAAAAACATAAATGCATCATTACCTGCAAGGCAGCATTTATTAGCAATTGTTCTCTTGAATTGCTTAAGAAGGTAATTTACGTTAACGATGCCTAATAAAATACGTTTTTCTCTCTCTCTTCTTTTATGTCCACACAGAGTTAGTGTTAAAGCTGTCATTGTGGATTTCTAACTATAAACCTATGTAGCCGAAATAATTTACGATTAAGTTAATATACTGAGCATAGCTGCAGTGACATATTTCAATGTCGTTAGCCTAAACACATTACCCTCTCCAGCTGAAAGTCAAGTAGCATCATAAACGACATGCCACGTGACAACAAAGCCGCATAACCTTGGGAAATCACCACTTTATGATGATTTAGGTTCAGTATGAATCATGATATGAAATTCTAACACACGCAATCCAGTGTTTTTGTCGTGTATATTTTAGCTTCCAGACCGTTCCTCAAACCATCCGAGGCGTCTGCCGCCAGGTGATCTACATTATTTTGTCTAATCAAATAGTAAACAGTATGCAGGCCAACATACCTGGACATGGATTCCATAATTATGACCCTCCGCTCGCCTCATAACGACGGCTTTTCATCATCAGCGGGTATAGCCATTAAAAAGCCCACTTTGCTACCAACGCTGCAGGCACTGGGCGGCGGACAACAGTGCACCTTATTAGGGCTTTCCTTGCCCCTGGGCCAGGCGGCTCCCAAATTTTTCGGTTGAGTGACCGCAATCTACCATCGTAAATATCGTTTTGGCAGAAGCTCCGAGATTCCTAATCTGAATATTCATAAGTTCTAAATGTTATTTCTACTTATACCGTGAATTATAAGATAAAGATTAATATCATACGCATTGGTTTGGGTAATCTTACCAGTGATCTCATTTTTGCTGTTCAACCCTCCAAGATATATCAAAAGTAAACTACCCCACAAAAAGGTATTATATATTTGTGAAGCTACATCATGTCATTAATTCCATTCTACTGATGAGTGGAACATATTATCAGCGTGTGCCGTGTCACATAACTTCACAACATGAACATATAAATTCGACAAGGTTGTTTTAAACGCCGAAACAAAATGGCGCCAGTATTTGTATTTAAAAAGAAAATATAATCGCATCATTACCTGCAAGGCAACATTTCTTAACAGTTTTAATCTTGGACTGTTTAAGAAGGTATTTTACGTGAGCAATGCCAAATAAAATACAATCTTGTCTCTTTTTCTTTTATACACAGAGTTAGTGTTCGAGCTTTTATTGTGTATTTTTAACTATAAACCTACGTAATTGAAAAATTACGATTAAGTTAATATACTGAGCATAGCTGCAGTGATCTATTTCAATGTCGTTAGCCTAAACACATTATCCTCAAAGTGGAAACAAATGACATTAATAATAAGCACGCCAGTTACAATGAAAAGTGGAAACACTTTTGATAGATCTTTGTAAAACAATAACCTTTAGTTTTTGTCTGTTGGAAAGAATCGGTGCAACTTGTAACTTATCATTTCCTCTCAGTTTTCATTATCAACTGTGTCATTATTATCGGTTACCGGTTATGTTATAAAGACTCAATTTAAAAAGGCTACAAAAGCTATTATCTTCAATCGATCATCGTCGTTTCTGCTCTTTTCTCTTCTGTGCTGTCGAGGTAACTTCATTTAGAATGCTTAAATAAATTGCTCACTTCACAAAGATGTTGTTAATAAATATTATTTCTAACCAATCTATTCATATCAAAATGTTTCCATCTCCAGATTTGCGCTGCCAAAGAAATACAAACTAATCACATTCAATTTATGACCGTAATTAGCATTACATCTGTCAACTTAAATGCCTTCGTATAATGCAGATAGTTTTCATTACACAGAGGGTTGAGTTCCTTACATTAAAACGATTTTAATATACAATTCAGCAAATCATGTGACAACCACAGCCGATATAAAGTCGCGGTGGAACGGCATGTATCACAACCACATATTGACGTGGTTTTTTTGGCGCTCATAGGTAGTATTATATCATCGACAATTTAAAGCATTTGGGAAGGGCATGTAACAACCCTTTCCGACGCAAACATTTATATACTCATATCATAAGGATGTGCTCAGATCGGGAAGTGGAATTTCCGAGAGAAGGATATCCATCGTACTTAATGGCATTGAAAAAAACTGACGAATATGAATCAATCTGTGGTGAGAGAACCACACAGAAAGAGACCCGCAACCAGTCGTATACCACAATCATAGTAAACAAATGCGGCATCTTGTAGCAGGTGAAAATCCACAAAGTTAATAGTAGCAAAAGTCGTCCACGTTTCTCAAGCAAAAAGTATGCTACATAATCAAGAAAGATGTCCAACTGGAAAATCAACATAAATCATGTGCACACAAGCTGCTTCCACGACATACCTGTTCTACTGTCGCACATCTTAAACAAGTGGAGAATGAAACGGATACTCATGCTATTCCCTACGAAGACATATCTTTCAAGTCACCGAACATTGATTGCATCTATAAATATTTATACTATAAGACTTTTCAAGTAGATATTGGGAAACCTCAACCGAGCAATTTGGGTGTTGAACGCAATTACTGGTGTGGCAATTCACCCAATACCATAGGTCAGCAGATCAGCAAAATGGGACAGTTTTACATTTCAGATGATAAAACAGAATGTGTGTGTGGTGGGGGGGGGGGTATAAAGATGTTAAAACATATTTTGCTTATTGAAGAGCTGGTTTGAATTTCGCGCAAAGCTACACGAGGATTATCTACGCTAGCCGTCCCTAATTTAGCAGTGAAAGACTAGAGGTAAGGAAACTAGTCATCACCACCAACCGCCAACTCTTGGGCTATTCTTTTACCAACAGTCACGTTATAATACCTCCACGTCTGATAGAGTGAACATATTTGGTGTGACTGAGATTCGAACCCGCGACTCTCAGATTGCGCGTCGAGCGCCTTAACCACCTGGCCATGCCGGGCCCGATAAAGAAATAAATATTATAAAACTTTATATGGTAAACCTAAAGGGGAGAATGGAAAATTTTGCGTATTTGTTAAATACAAAGCCACATCTTAAAGAAAAATTGTTGCAGATGGTAAAGGAAGGAATGTGTTGAATAGCGGTGAATTAGCCTCTGAAAAATCTTTGAAAATTGTCGGTTATAAAAATGATTTTATTGAAAAACATTATGTTTTTATTGTTTAGTTTCACGTGTTATTATTTTATATTTTTATATATTTAGCGTAGCATACTATATACAGAGGATGGATCATATCGAACCTCCTAAAACGGTTCTAAAGTACAATTTCTATAGTATTTCATGCAAATTTTATATCACAAATGCAACAACTACAGTAGTTGACACTTTGAACGTGTGTAATATTATATTGATTCAGTGGGGTCGAGCGAGGTCAGACTACTGACTTGCAAGTCCAGCGCTCGCGTGCAGTTACCACACACACACACACAATATATAATAAACTCCCTACTCACATTAAAGCTGTGGGTGCGTTATAAGGGTAGCTATCAAATTCAACTATTCGATCAGACAAGAACCCCAAGAGCTGGCAATGGATACTGTTGACTGGCTGCCTTCGCAATAGTCTATAATGGTTGAAAATCAGGGTGAGCTATCGCAGATATTTCTTGGAGAACTTTCCGTGAATATACGAAAACAAACAAACTGATTCTGTGATCATCAAAATATAGCTTAATCATGATGAAAGGTGATGTATGTTCTATAAAACATATTATTACACCAAGTGTAAAAAGCTTTCTGAAAATTTCGAAAGCGCTGTCAAGAGTTACACATGTGCGTTTATTTTTACTTATTTCACCAGTTACGTGTACAGAGTTCATTATAATTCAACAAGCCAAACAACTTAAAAATATTGTTTACTTAATAAGGAGAGCGAATCCACATCACATGGCAACAGAGTTTGGTTGTGGCCTTAACGCAGTGACCAACTCCACACAACACATTTACTAGAAGTAAGTGTTACAATTCTGCGTGTCACGTCATTCTGGTGCATGAAATTATTTTTTTGTATCTATAGCATATCGATTCTGTTTGATAAAATCCTACAATTGAGAATTGTTATAAGGCTTACGTCAACCTTATGATCTGTTCAAACTGGAATTTCCAGGTACAATAAACCTTAATTATTAACATATTATAAACAGGCGTAGCATAACGGTTAATGTGTCCAAGGTTCAAGGTTTGTTTCACGATATCGCTGATCACGTTTCGCACTTTCAAGTATTGGTGCATTAAAAGAGTAACAGTCCATAACTTTATCTGATTAAAAGCCTTGTGGTGGCTGTTGCTGCTGATTGAGTGCCCCTCGTTTGGATAATCAGTAACTAAGCGCTAAGGAAGGCTGTAACTGAACCTTTGTGGACCTCTGGCGTGGAAATATAGACCATATGCGCACAAGATGTAATTCAGGTTGAAAAAACAATGCCTTTAAGCAACCAAACTAGAACACAGGATGTTACAATAATTACTAATAATAGAACAGCTAACTCCTCGAATAAAACAACGTGAGAATATTTTATCATTTCCTTTATTTTCTATAATAATCATAGTTTTGAATAACTATTCTTGATTTTATTGATATCATTGAATACAGTTACATATCAACCCAATCACCAAACCCCAATAAAGCTATTCATTCATACATTTATAACTCCACCCTAAGTACCTAGTAGCTTAAAGTACAGGATGGGCTTAAATAGCAAATCTCCCGATAAAATTTATAGTACCACAACAAGATACTCGCTTTTAATCCACGAATTGTGATGTATAGGTCCAATTTCTGATAATACTCATAGCTTAGTGAACGGTTTCAATAGATTGTGAGAGCAGACATTGTGTGATGAGAAAAATGTGTTTTCATGTGGCATTCATAATATCCCTGTTTGTTTGTTTTAAGACGTGGCATACATAATATCCCTGTTTGCTTGTTTTAAGACGTGGTATACATCATATCCCTGTTTGCTTGTTTTAAGATGTGGCATACATAATATCCCTGCTTACTTGTTGTTTTTCACTCGTTTCTAGCTTCAACCTTATATACATAAATATTAGATCTTTCAAAGGCGTTATTTAGAAGTACGTTTACATGATAAACGTGTGCCATACACCCTAACAATTTGCGTTTTAACGTCGTAAGAATGAACAGCCATCACATGAGTGTTTTCATTTTTTTTAGAGTCTCCACTTGACCTATCAAAATCTTTATTATCTTCAAGAGTGCCAATTATATCTCAAAGGAATACCGATCGCAGAAATCTGGGCACAACCTTCCCAGAGACAGAGAAGCGACGCTCGGCATCAAGTGACTGTCTTTCCATGAGTGATGAGGTAATTATCCGAAACCTACGGCTTATAGTAATAAATACAACTAAGTATATTCAGTATTCTACTAATACTAGTAGCCAACTGAAAGACGATTTATGTCTAAGTTTAGATATGTTTATAACTTAGCAGCAAGTTAACGAAGAATCTCACGTGATGTCTAAATTGGTTGTATCTCTTCCTCTCCCGCCGGGACAGTCTGCAGGGGTTGAGGCCCGTCAGTTGCCGGTAAAGAAAGCCCGGGAGCGAACACTACTGCCTTGTGAGGTGTGCGGCAAGGCTTTCGACCGTCCATCCTTGCTCAGAAGACATATGCGAACCCACACAGGCAAGTCTTGAGGATATATAATTGCAATGCCTCATAATTAAAGAATAATATTTTTTCTTTAGAATATCATCGAGCTTTAATTTGGATTTATCAACGTAACATTTTTTACATTTTCTATCCAGTATTCTTCGGATATTTGAAATTTTCATTTTTGCTTTTACCATACGTGTAATTTAATCCTATTTTTTATACATACTTAATAGACATTTATTGTCTGAATATTTTTGCTTAACTATGCTTGTGATAAAGGATCTACTAAGTTTTTAATGATTCTTAAGTACGAAATAAAAAGTGTTTTTAATGGGTAAGTTGGAGAAACTGATGTTTCGTGTTAATATTTTTATTGAATTTTAGAAACTCAGCGTTCCCGTTTTATCATTTTTATTTAAAAATAATCAGAAAAAATAGGAAAGTTGAAATGTATTTACAGATGTTTACAAGCATAAATATTACGGTGTCATTTTAACATAATTTATGTTAGAATCAACATCAGTAACACCAAAGAAATGAAATCCATGAATAAAAATATAATACTGAACAAAAGTTACCTGGCGAGTAAAATTAGAAATTTTATTATTATTTCAAATACTGTCTGTTGATACAGGAGAGAAGCCTCATGTTTGTGAAGTGTGTGGTAAGGGTTTCAGCACATCAAGCTCTCTCAACACCCACCGCAGGATCCATTCCGGTGAGAAACCCCACCAGTGCCACATCTGTGGCAAACGGTTTACAGCTAGTTCCAACCTATATTACCACAGAATGACCCACAGCAAGGTGAGGATTTTGATAAACTTCATAAACATTTATGCTCAGGAAATTCCACTTTATGTAGGATTTCCCAAAGAAAACTAAACACGCGAGAGTGAAAATGCCTGACCTATTTTCTGTCGTTTAATATATCTATGTAAAAGTTGTTATGAATATTCAAATAAATATTTATTATTTTCTTAGAGTTGATGAGTAAAAGTAAAGAATAATACATAACAATATGTAAAACTTACTATATCTGCAATATCCACTACTGACGAGGCCTTTCGAATAATGCCAAGGCTCATAAGGCAGACTGGGATGCGACAGACGCATTAACGGTTGAGACGCTAATTATATTATGAAACTGTATGAAAAACTGTTATTGTATGAAAGTACATCACTTTACTGTTAAATTTTAACAACAATAGTCCAGTAAATTTTCAGATTGTGATAAAATTATATAGGAAATATATTTTAACACTGAAAAAAAAACGCACACCTTGTTAAACAGAGATCTATATAAAAAGTAAAATACAAATTACGTTAACTCCAACACGGTAAATTATGTCCAAAGGAACGTCAATTAATTATTTAGTTTTTATGTGGTTTCATCTTAAATGGGTTATATAACTTCCACTAGTTTCAATCAGGATAGTAACTATAGTAGGCAGTATTTCAGTGAACGTTCGCTGGGCCTAACTTCGTCTTATGTTTTACGCCTGAGGCTGTAATGGTTGCGGTGGGCATGAAAGGAGTCTTCTCTTGTGAAAAATGAATTAAGGTCCTTTTTAATGAAAATTGTGCGTATTTCTTCTCAATAAAGTGTCAGAAGATGAAATTTCCCATATATATTAAAATAATATACAATTGTATTAAGTCTTGAAAACCCCTCAGTTTTCTGTGTGGATAACAAATTACTGATGTGAAAAGTGTTCATAAGGTGATTGAGTCAAGGAGAACAAAGTTGAGTTTATGTCTGAGGAAAATATTTCAAGTAATTCCCTCTAATTGTAACCATAGTGAAAACTCACCTCTGAGGAAGATGAACAGAAGAAGCTTGATAAAAATTGACACAAAACTAAAATCACGATTTCGCAGACACAACCTTCTAACACAGAAAAACTCTATCTGGTCGTATTTCAGGCTCAAGGCGTCTCTTACAGTAAATGAGATGCTGAAGAAAACGTTATGTTAAAATGGATCATGATGAGTAAGAGCAACACTTGCTTTCCAAGGTTGTACATTGACCATAAATTAACTATGTAGTGTTACGCCCTTTTCCACTACATGCTAATTTGTAATTATCTGAAACGTTTTGGCGTATTTTATTTACTTGTTTGCAGATAGCTTTATGAACACAAAGACCTGTTTGCTTATGGAAATTAATACAAAGCTACACAAGGGCTAGTTGTACTAGTCAGCGCTAATTTTGAAATTGATAGACTAAAGGAAATACAATTAGTCAACAGCCTCCACTGTCAAATCCTTGGGCTACGCCAATCGAATAGTGAAATTTCATCGTCACTCTTATAACGCACCCACGGCTCAAAATTGCGGAGTTCCTTTATGTGACGATGGCGTGAACACTGAATTCTTGGATTCACATTCCGACAAGTTATCCTCTAAGCCACGCCTGTCCCGAGTATAAATGAATTCAATTAAAACTTTTCTGTCAAAGTACAGTCTTCTATTTAAACCTTATTCCTAAGAACTTACAATTAATTTATGAAAAACGTATACTCATAACAGGCTACACTAACAATACAAAAACATCTATGTTTTTCTTCTTTTGATATAGTACTCAAAATTAGGATTTCCTCTACAAACGAATATACTGCTATAAACATATTGGATAAAAGGTTCAATGCATCCTGTAGATAAGCCGTTCACGTTGTTGAGAAGATAGTTTGTTTAGGGTTGAAAGTCTTTTCAAAGTCATCACACAGTGAGAAATCATTCGGGGTTTTAATAAACGATGTTATCAGAATTTCTAATAAACTTTGGATTTGAGGTCTACGCCCTGCTCTACTTGAAAGATTGCCTCCCTGTCGAGTTAGAACTAGTTTGTCGTCCTACAATAACCATGCCAAACATTTAAGATTCTCTAAATTAACGTTGCTACACTACAGAGTAACGAATGTTGCACCATGAATATTCAGTATAGGCGGAGTTCACCTTTGATGAGGGAAAGCTATGGAATATTGATTCGAATTGTCGGGTGCTTATTGAATTATATTTCGTCTTCTTAACCCTTGTGGAGGATTCTTAATATCGTATTACATTTGTCCCTTATCGTGCATAACTTTCACGATGCAAGTTACAAAGATGCTGTTATAATTAGTGCTAGTACATGTAATATATTTATTACTTGCTTTTTTGTTTATTTGTTTAAAGTTAAGCACAAAGCTACACAATGGGCTATCTTTGCTCTGCCCACCACGAGTATCGAAACCCGGTTTCTAATATTGTAAGTCCGCAGACATACCGCTGTGCCACTGAAGGGAAGGGTGCTTATTAATTGCAAATATGAATATAACTATTCTAAGATATTTGACACTGTATGTGTAGGCCAGAATTAAACAATTTTCAGTTTGACTAATTTACTGCGATTTCTTGGCATGAACTAAGGCATATTCGGGTTTCCTTTCTATGTGTTATTAGAATATATGCCTTACACGGGTGTGGCAGGACAAAACTAGAAGGTTCAAGAGTTTGTGCGAAAATTAGAACATTCTTTGTATCTGTTTTTTTTTTCGTCCTTTGCTTGTCAGATGTGATATTACAGTATTTAATTTGATATAAAAGCTAATTATTCACGTTAACATGATAATTAACGAAAATAAAGTGAAATTCATGTGCATACTGATTGTTGGTATAACCAACCAAATTCTAAGCTCGTTTACTAATAAAACAAACGTTTATTATTTCCAATCTAGTGATAAGTATTCATTCTGAATTCTAAAATTATATAGGTTATAAACAACAAAATTTGTAAGATCATAGAAGTTTTTAAATTAATAATATAACTACTTATCCTAGTTGTTCTCAGCATACATAAATAATATTATGATTAGCCAAATATTATTTAGAGGTTTGTTTAAAGGAAACTACTTAAATTTATCGAACTTTTGAAAACTACTCTACCTTGATAATAAATGAAATCCCAATTCTGTAATCAGAAATGCACTTTCTAGTAACATTTTCTATTTTCCAACAGAAGTGTGTAAAAGAAGAAAATAGTTTTCTTCATTATTTTCACTTATCTATTTTGATAAAGTTTGTACAAGGACGTATTATTTTATCTTACAGGAGAAGCCACACAAATGTACTTTATGTGCCAAATCTTTCCCCACACCCGGGGATCTGAAGAGTCACATGTATGTCCACAATGGTTCGTGGCCTTTCAAGTGTCACATTTGTAACCGTGGGTTTAGCAAGCAAACGAACTTGAAGAATCATCTCTTCTTACACACGGGTGAGTAAATAGTAAATCTATCTACTTTTTTTTGACAATTTTAAGAGTGCATCACAATAAACCTAAAATTAGTTTGCGTCACATGTTGAACCATTTACTGGACAAGTCTTATTTTTTTGCTTTTAACACCCAAAACACGCTTATGTTTCATCAAGGAAATAATAAATAATCCTTTATAATACAACTGTGATCCAGTTTTTATCAGCAATAAATTAACAGCTTTTATCTTGTATTTTAATATCAAGCCGACAAGTAACGCCTTCCTATTTTAAACAATAACATCTTTCTTTTAATAAAAAAACTAAAGTAAAGCAAATGTTTAATAGCGGTACTTGAACTTAAACTAAGCCATCAACAACAAATTTTACTGATGCTGTATTTTTATGGTTATTGTTTCGTGACACGAAGCAATGCTTCTTCAACAAAATGCACTCAGAGAACAATCCAGAAACTCGTTCATTAATAATAATAAAGTATTCCATTTAGTCAGTTGAAAGTAAATTACTTGAAAACATTCAATGTGAATCTACAACAATAACAGATAAATAAGGCTACGTTTCGCAAAAATGAATTTACGTCAGCAGACTAACTTGGCTGAGGAATTTATTGTGCTTCCTTGGTGACTTTTTGTTTTACTTCTAAAACAACAAAATCGTCAGATGTACAATGTAATTCGTTCTAACTAACTGCAATACCAAATCGTAAACTTTTTATACTTATCTTTATTCAGCGACACTTCATACGATTTCCTAAAAAAAAATGTCTCTATTACAGATTTTATCAGCTATAATTATTTGTGTATTATTATTTAATAAAACGGAGTATAAAGGAGTTTTATATGATTAGAATGTATTAACTCAATATTTTTTATCAGACTAACAATAGTCAAGTGCAACTACAGCTTAGAGTCTGAAAGTACAACGAAAGGTTCTAAAGCGTTGTGTAAGAGTATGTGTTGTTTGTTTCATAGCAAAACCACATTGGGTTATCTACTGTGTTTTCCGCGAGGAATCGAACCCCGGTTTTTAGTATTTCAACTCCGTAGACTTAACCGCTGTCCCATCGGGGGATCGTTGTGTAAGAAAGAAACATGTTTAACAAAAAATAAAATCATGTGGTTAAAGACTGGCTGAGCGATCTTCCTACTTAACACTTTTTTGTGCTCAGCGGAATATCTGCGGACTTACAACGCTAGAGTCTGGGTTTCGATATCCGTGATGGGCAGAGCACAGATAGCCCATTGTGTAGCTTTGTGCTTAACTTCAAGCAAACAAACAAACTTTTTGTGCTACAGTTTTTTAAGTCTTTTATACATTCTTTTATTGTATATTGACGTAAATTTGGGTTTATTTTTACATGATTAATTTTACTTTTCAATTTAAGAATCAATCTTTCGTACCTTTACGAAGTTATAAGTATTTCAGAAATCCTTTGATATATAGTTTTGAAAATAAAGGGCGAGAACGCCGGTGTTTTCAAAGTTTTACGGAACTAGAATATTTTGATCTAGGTTAAAGACTTTACTAAATCCTAACAAACACCTTTTTTTAAACTTAACTCTGCTTTATAATAAATGTCGCATTCCTTTTATAGTGGCATTCATTAAAACCTAGGCGTATAATTGAGAGAAACAGAAAAAAAAGGAGGTCCCTTAAACTTTGGGTGGAAATTGCGGTAGCTGAAAATATGTAGCTGCCACCCTTGTCAAGGTCAACTGTACATTAGTCTCAGATGTAATGCAAATAATTTATTCAAACATAAACACCCCAATGATCATTATTGTTCTAACCTAGACGGCTCAGTCTAATCTAGATCAGAAAAGAAATCAGTTTTTACCTTTACTTTCAGTAGTCGAAACGAAACAAGCTTTTGTATGAATACTTTAGGGTTTTAATATGAATACTGTTGTGGTTTAGTATACATTAGATCAGTATTGCTCCTACTAGAGTTTAAAAGGAGAAGTAAGTGAGCGATATTATTGTCTTTTAGAGCGTTTTTTAATCGTTGATTTGCTAATCAATAGGACTTGATTTATTAAGTCGGGAATGTGAGAGATATTCTTATAAAAACACAGTTTCGTTTAGTGGTGCCGCCCAGTGGTTCAACAGTAAATGTACGGACTTATAACGCTAAAAACTGGGTTTCAATACACGTGTTTGGCACAGCACAAATATCCCATTGTGTTGCTTTGTGTTTAGCTGCATACATAACAAACAAAATCATTTAGTGATATCTCCTACCACTAGTCTGGCTGGACTAATTAGAGCTGATTTTGTTCCAAAAAGCTCTGTTTAGCTGGTCATGAACGGAATTGTACTGCATAATGTAAGCTAATATATATATTTTACGATTCGGGTTAAACAAATGTAAAGTGAGTTAATAATAAATATTAAATTTAAACAAATTACTTGTGTCACTCATTCTGTGAACAAATTACTATAAAAATAGAAATACCATTATTTTTTGAAAACAAAATTACGTTCAAAATTACGAAAAATAACAGCTATATTTTTTCGTAATGGCGACTTTGATACCATCTTGAAGGTAGAGGTAAATTAGTTGGTTTATTAGAAATATAATACACTAATCAAAGCAATTAAAGGACAATTGGAATTTATATTATTCTAGTCGTGGCGTAGTCAAACTATTGTTATAACGTTATGTCAGTCATTCTTGACTTATATAGCTTGTCTGTTTATCTGCGCTCGTCTTCCTTAGTTTTCAACTGACAGATTAGCAGGAATGCAACTCATCAACAACAACTTCCGTCAACTATTGGGCTATTCTAATCATATAGTGAGATTTGCCCGTCAATCTTATATTGCACCACGGTTCCAAGTGCGGAGCGTGTTTTTGTGGTTTGTTAATCCATTTATAATGAAAAGTGTAAGACCTGTGCTATTCTAAAAGAATCGCTAGCAAAAATTCATTGAAACCTAGTAGTAACCTGTATGTGTGATTTCGTTTGTATTAACTAGCTGTGGTCAATAAGCGTCCCAGTCAGGATAAACCGTAGCCATGTTAGTTAAAATGATAACTTTCAAATACCAAGCTTTCAGTCTTATGACATTTTAAGTTGACTATCTAACGTTGTATCTACTAAATCACATAATAAATAAATACGTAAAAAAAGTGTACAAAGGTGATTTTCACCAGTTAATTTTATTCCCATGATGTTTATTCGCACTGAATATTTAAACAAATCCTATTAAACTCTACGAGCTTAAGTCATAGGTTCGTTTTCTAGCAGCAGGTGGTAAGACATTCAATTTGATATTTCGATAAATATTATGCCACTCTTCACTCGGTACCCTTCTTGCCCCATCTAGCGTCGGGCGTTACCTCATTCCGGTAGCCAACACTGGCTCTATTGTTGGGTTATGATGAATACAACCCTGTGGGTGGAACTTCGTGAAAGTAGAAGAGCTAGTTCAAGGCGGATCCTGCGTTACACGTCAAGCTTTCTTGCCCCACCAGGAACAAAAAGTTTCAGTTAAGTAAGGCGATAATTGACAATCGTATTTCACAGTACGAATAATGACGTGCCTACACTCACAAGAAAATTTAAACGCTGTTTATTAATCTTTTGAAATATTTTCATTCGTTTTAACCTCATAAGTATATGAAAGGAACTTGTCAGTACTTATGATTGAAATGCTGGCTTATTTTGAAGTTTGTTTCAGAGTTCTTGCTAATATTCTAGTTAGCTCAAGTTCTGAAAAGGAAATATGCGCTTGCAACTATTACAAAGTTTGCGACTTTTTTTGTAAAGCTTGGCTTTTGTACAGAAGTTTGTTTGTTTGAAGTTATGCACAAAGCTACACAATGGGATATCTGTGCTCTGCCCACCACGGGTATCGAAACCCGGTTTCTAGCGTTGTAAGTCCGCAGACATACCGCTGTGCTACTGGTGAGCTTGTACAGAGGCAGGGACACGGGAACTAGGGGTATTGGAAATGCGATAGCATCTCCTGGCTTGACATAGATTTTATCATTTACATGACTTAGACCATTATGGTAATGAAATTATTTAGATTTCCACTTTCTAGTAATAAAGTAATTCTAATGTAATCCACTGACTTACTGGGTTTGTTCAATGGTTTTCAGCGCCCCCACTACACAAGTTGTTCAAGCGCCAAGGTACAGACGTGGAAATTTTGGAGACAGATTTAAAACTGGTTGCTTAGTCCACCGCGTTACATAAGGAGCAGGATCCCCGCTATCTGCTTACTAACGAAGTTAAGGTTTCACTAACAAGGCGAGAATTATGCGAGAGCAAGTACCCATTATGTGAAGAATCGCTGTCTTGATCAGCTCTAGACTGACAGGTGTTCACTGACACTCTAGTAATAAATGATAATAGTTAGAGCGATGCATAGGAGACGAATGAAATACCAGTAATGTACTCTGGAATTAATTTCCAATACAGAGAAGTTTCCTCCCAATCTGTGAATCTTTAGCTCTGAAATGCTTGACTGATTTATGTTACCTAACTGGCTAGACTGTGAAATGTGATCAGCATATCCCTCACGCTTCATTAGCATACATTTATTGCAAAAATAGGCATTTTTCTCTCTGTAGGGCTAACACACAATGTGGGAAAAAATTAAACCTTATATGTTTATAAAAGTAATAACTAAACCTCTACATCAGTTGAATGTGTTTGGTTCAATAAACACACTGTTTTAACATATTTGTATTTGAAAAAATCAACTCGCATTTACTGACACGTAAGATGTGAAATGTTTAATTCTTGTCTATGCTATTGGGTAACAGCTGTTATACACTTATTTTAGAATTAGTGAAAAATAACATTTCTTCAATTAAAGAATTTCAAAACTTTATAGTTAGATCAGGAGTTCCCAAATTGGGGGCTGCAGGAAAGTTTCAGGGAGACGTAGCAAGTACACAACAGACACAATATTGTTAAGGTACCAAGTATACACTTAGTCAAGATTTGTAACGGAGGCCTTGTGCGGAGGAACTTTGGGAACCATTGACTAAGATCATTATGGGAATTGAAGTCTTTGGATTTACACTTTCTAGTAATAAAGTAATTCTAATGTAATCCCCAGAATTAACTGAGCTTGAAAGATTCCGCTATAAAGAAAGGCCAAGTATGGCTAAGTGATAAGTTTAAAGGCCTATGGATAAAGAAGCATGAGGTTCGAGACGTAATGCCTTCTCGTCTGAGGCCACATTATAAAACCGACTGTCAACAACGTTATTCATTTCAAAGAGCCTGACACAGCTCTTGTGGTGACAGGTGCTTCTGGTTGGTTACCTTCTTCTGGTCAACCCTTCCTAACAACTATCTGAAGTTAGGGGTCTCTGACCGAGACGTTAAACCCTAAGGTGTAGTTCAGTTTGAAAATTCCAATTCAATTAAAGATATTGTCCAATGATATAGCTTTCATGCAGTGTTACCATGTTGGTTCTGTATGTATTTTAATAAAACTTATTGTTGGAACGGTTTCTATTATTGTGCTGGCTATTTAATACTTGTTCCAGTCTACCTAAGGTTAAGAACAAAACGTTTTTGTTTTTTTTTAAAACAACTTTTTCCATTAGCTTAACTAACGTTAACTGATGGGCCCAAGTTCACAACAGACGCTAACTCAACAATTTCACAATACTTCGTCGAAAAATAAACTTAATATTTACTAAACTAAGTGACTAATGAGCTCACTAACTCAAAAGCTAACTCTAATAGGTTCATTATAACTTATTAATACAATCAACGATTTTCTAATTTGCGTTTTATATCTACTCAACCTTTTGCAAAGCTTTTACGAAACATCCAGACATTAAACCACACACTTATTGCATGACGTCAAGAATAGATTAAAAGTATAGCCTACAGCCTTAAATGTGACGTTCAAATTGAAAAATCCAATATAAATTTCACTGCAAGTCATAGTCGAGTAATACAGCTTTTATGCAATGTGTCATGTTACTTTCATGTATAAGTTTTTATAAAACTTATCAAATGCACATCTTGCTATATATTTAATTAAAAATTAATTACCTAAATTCAAATTTATTCTATAAACGACGATAACATTTTGTAAATTCGGCTTTAAGAGATAAACAATAATAGGTTAAAACGAAAAGTATTCATAGTAGTTATATAACATTGTTAAACTAAATGTAAAACAGTGTTGAAATCAAACTATGAACCTTTGGTTTGCCGCTTTGATCTAAGGCAAGGCAGGTGAGATTTATGCCTAGAGCTAATGTTTCCAGTGAATTTTGGGCAAGGAACCAGGTGCCTACATAATAAGAAATTGGTGTGTCTAGTATATTGTTTTTCTACTAATGTTCGGGTGCTTTTGATTCCGTCTAGACCTAGTTTTCAATTACACAATTCGGTCGACGTTCGCATTGGATGCTTCCCCCCCTATTGTAGCAAGCGTCAATGATAATAACATCATTAAGAAGAGCCTCCTCCGCTCTCTGTATGCAGTGCAGATACCAAAGTGTCTAAGCTTTAAACATGGTTCAAGGATTCTTTCTTTTGTGTCACAGAGAAAGTTAACTGTGATCGTCCTCATAACTTCAGGTAGAGCGCCGCCGACAAGGGTTCACAATGAAATAATACATTCCAAAGAAATCATGCAGAACATTCATGTTAAGACGAGTGGTTGGTGCATTGTTTTATGCCACAGTTTTCTGTAGTAGTCAATCATTTCAATCTATTGTTTCATATAATGCTATTTGTCCGCTTCTCTACCAACAATATAAGGCATTTATTTTGAGAGTGACATAAAAATAGTTACGTGACTTTCAATGTTCAATAAAACATTGTTTCAGAAAAAGAACAGTATCAAGGTTAAAGATCTACACAGCAAACACGCGTTACTTTACACTTACAAAACAAGATGTACAAAGGTACTCAAGAAAGTTTAGTTTTACACTCACATTGTTACTAATGTTTTCATTTCAAATTTTATAGGTAATGTATAAAATCTATAAAAACGAATATTTGGGTAATCCTTTATTAAACAACCTTGTGTGTTTGTTTGTCCACGAATTCCTTCCACAGTTTTGAATATTTGCAGTATCAGACTTGGCAGATTAACTCGGAGTGGTCTGGGAATTCTTTAGCTATACGGCATAACCCCAATTCCAAGGGGGTTACAACGCCTCCTGAAGACCACTCAGGTGTGATAGAGGCTTAGGAGTTGGTTTGCAGTGTCACTAAACTCGAATATCTAGCATCGGAATTTGTGTTCCTGGTCCCCTTGGGATTTCGGGGGTACCATAGTTGAAACTGTGTTCATACGCCTATTTATAAGCTAATGGAATTAAATTTGACACACGTGCTGTGGTACCACAGGCGGGTGTCTTAACTTTTTTTTAGAGGAGGGGGTAGCTATAAAAGTAATTTGGGGATAATGAAAGAATTTGATCGAAATACTGGGACCTCTGTGGATAACGTACCCCACAGTGAAACGTGAGTATTTTATGCTAGTGAGTTTTTTGTTTTTGATGTTTTTTGTGAGATTTCTCGAATATGTTATGTGTGTATAGTGTTGAGCACTATTACTTAGTATAAAGGAAAATAAATGTTGTTTCTGGTTGTGTAATACGGAAAACGATAGGTTAAAACTTAGTTACAGTATCCCTCCCCCTTCCACCAGTAGCTCAGCGGTAAGTTTGAAGGCTTATAATGCTAAACATCGGGTTTCGATACCCTTGATTGTAAAAGCACAAATACACGGAATGATTAGTATTTATTACAAATAAAACCAGGCCAATTACTCAGTGTTGTCGAGTAGTTATCATACACAAATCTACGCATTGCTGTCATATTCACATGATTTTATCAATGAGTTTTTAAAAACGTTTTCTTTTTTTTTAGGGGATAAACCTCACGTTTGTGAATACTGTCAAAAAAAATTTGCTCTTGCCTGTAATCTTCGAGCTCACCTTAAGACTCATGAAGGTATGTGTTAACCAAGGTAACATAAGTTATTAAAATACGATTACACCATGATATGAGAAAGGATATGACTAAAAGATGTTTCAACTTTATTCTGATTTTTTTTAGCATTACGAAAACAGTAATATATTACTTGCGAAAGAAAAACATTTATAGGAATAAAGAAAACTTTATTTTTCTAAATGATAGATAATAATACCTTCCGATCAAAGTAAATTATGTACTTAAAACGAACTAAAAACAACCTGGCCACAAAGTATAGCTGATTAACTAACTACTAATAAAGAATAAAACACATTGTTTAATAGTTGGGTACCCCAACTATTAACGACATTTTCGGCCATAAACCCAATAATATTTTACGATGTGTGGTCAGCTTAGAAGATTATATTAGTTCTAAATACAAAATATAAACTAGTAGTGCAAATCAATCTTAATAATGAATGACAAGTAAAGATAAAATGCAAATAATTACATTCGATCTAGTAACTAGTGTAATCAATATCTTTAACAAAAAGAACAGTAAATAAACAAAATAGTATACCTTACTTAGGAAACGCAGAAACACTAGAATAGGGTCAAAATTAACTCAGTTAATCTGGGTATAATACAACTAACTTGACATTACCTTTAGCTAACCTGACTCCAGGTTATTTTCTAATCAATGTTTGTTGGTACTACGGTAACTTTCCAATTCAGTATTTGTTAAATGCATATTTATGATAATGGTTGGATACGGCTTGAATGGGTAATGAAGAAAAACTTTAATACAAGTTTTCTTCATTACCCATTCAAGCCGTCTCCAACCATTATTAGTCTCAAAGTGGGTTCCTCGTCATCGAATTTGAATTCATCACGGCATATTTATGATGTTATCTTTTTTTAATCTAGATAATTTATGCCGCAGAAGTATTACTGCAAGCATTATGTTTTACATGTTTTTTGTTTATTTTTTGTTGTTGTTGTTGTTAAGCGCAAGGTTACAAACGGTTATTTGTGCTGTGCCCATTACGTATATCAAAAGACAATTTTTAAGTTTCTAGGCCCCCAGACTTTCCGCTGAGCCACTGGGGAATTTTTTGGTCTGTTTTATACCAATATTTACTAACGTACAACGACTTCTCCTTCGTTTTAATGCAAACATAATTCATCATTTTGATAACATACCCATTGCTAAAGTGAGAAACGTGATTTTTCAGCAACAGAACACGAACCATGAACCCTCGGATTCACAGTCTGGCCATCCAACTGTGAAGCTACGTATGGGTCTTATTTTAAAGTAGTCATCTGTGTGTATCCATGTATACAACATGTCGTCTCATGAATAATTAGACAGATTTGATGAATATATTTTCGTATAGCGAGCATACAAGTACAGGGCCGAAGACAATTTTCTAACTTTGGAGATGCTTTCCTACCTGGAATATCATCAAAATGCTTAGCACGTGCGATCGCACCGCCGCCATGTGGAATGCGCGTTTATATGCTGTGTAAGATATACTGGAAAGTCCCATAGAATATTGTGATTAACAAAATATTTTATCACTATGTTGGAACTTATTAGCAAAAACTAGCACCCTCAAGCACCCACATGTATAGTAGCTTGAAGGCAGCTTAATTTGCTGTATTAAATAAAAACAATCTGACAGAACGGTCAGTAATTATGCATAGTTTAAGACATTAATATCCACCCCTTAGCTACCCATTTTTTTAATTTTCTGAAGAAACCTTACAAAAAGAAGTCGCACTTGTTTCGGGAATTCAGTGAAGTTGTTTAGATATGTAAATGTTTTTTGTTTTTCCTACCAACGGTTTCCGTGACAAAAACTGTTACCGTTTCTACCCGTGTAATGTTTTGTAAGGGACGAAAGCAAGTGGCTCGTTTAAAAGATACAGCAATGTTTTTATGCGTAAAAAACATTTTGGAGGCGAAAGTAGAGCAAGGACAGACGGCTTGAAGGACAAGCTATGCTTGCGCAGAATGGCACGACGCTAGGCCTCTTTGGAAATCAGATGACTAGTTGACATCCCATCATATGGTTCCTCCGGCAGCTTGAAGACAGGTTCAATTCTAAAATATATCCTTATTTTCCCTTAATGAGAAGTCAACCTTGATCTCATTTTCAAACAACTATCACGAACAATAATATCAAGTTTGACATCCCTGCAACACCTTCCTTAGAATAATCAACGAATAAAAAACGGTACAATTCAGGGTTAAGAATTATTCACACTTACAGCATAATAGGAAGCTACAGAGTAATTTAAGTTAAAACTTAGACTTAACTATAGTTTATCAGTTTTGTTCTATCTATTATTAATTGAAGCTAGAGTGCAGTCAGACAACCGGCTGATCCAAATGTTAGCTGCTTCACACTTAAATACCATTTCATTGAATAGCATTTGATTTAAAGCATCAATTCTCATTTGTCGTTTTGCGTGTCAGGCTTTTTACTGTTCACATATACAGCATTCTTATATATATCTGAAACAGATGAAAATTAACAAGTATTCTTATACTGCTCTGGTCATCTTAACTTTGGGTTCACCTTGTATATGTCTGAATTCCAAACCTAAACCAAACTTAAGTTCTTTGTCTAAAAATCAGTCTTCATGAAGAGTATAATTCAAATGTTTCTGATATCTCATAACGGTCCTCCACCTTTAAGTTAATCTATAAATTTTCACTACACAGCGTGTGTTACTAAACAACGAGTCGTTTTAAAAAGAAATGTTTATTTTTATCGTTTTAGGTGAACTCCAAGAAAGTTGCTCCCAATGTGCCAAACATTTTCCTATATCTGCCAATATGCTCAATCATGGATCCTGTCAGAATTGCTATCAAAAAAATAATGGGATCGCCCTGATGAAGAAGAAGGAGAAAGAAGAAAGCAGAGAAATAGTCTCGCCTTCTGGTACAAAGACTTACAATGCAGTTGTAGAGACTGGAAACTCTCGATCTCCTCTTCTTTATGGTATTTTGGACCACGTGATGGTGCAGTATGGAACAGCGAATGGTCAAATTTTAGAAGGGAAACAAATTTTCAATGCTAGGTCTTGATTAAAGAATAGTTGCTCAATTTTGTATTTTATTGAGATCAAAATAAGTGATTTTATAAAATTATATATCTTTAACTCGGATATCGCATTAAAATTGCAATGGTAAGACTATCTGCCTTTAAATAAAATGGAAGAGTTCCTCAAATGAAGTACATATGCGTTAAGAAAGAATTTAAACGAATTTTTGCCATTTCCACTCTTCGTTGACGACATCCTGCGGAGGAAACTCGCTTATTTTATAACAGCGTGTTGTTTTTTGTGTTTTTTGTTAAAATTATTTTTGTGTTATAGAAGCTTTTTGTTATTCTAGAAGTTGCTGATACTTCTATGAAGTGTTAGCAAATAAATGTAAAGCTGAAAACTTTGCATCTTACAACGCGAATTGTTACAATCAAAACTTTGAAATGGGTCTATGTTGTATTTTCAGCCGAGTACGCTCATTCTGTGTAAGTTTATCATTTTAGCATGGAGGTATTTGGATTTTTATTAGTGCCTTATTACTGTCCATTATGAAAGAAACTTCGCTGGTTTTTTGTTGTTTTTTTTATTTTGCTATTCATTGCATAAAATCTAGATATAGGCAATCTTGGAGTTATCCAGCCACATCGAAAGTGACTTGTAGAGTGTAACATGTAAAAGTATAAGCAATGAATCTGTAGGTTTACATAATCAGATTAAAAATACATCGTTAAAGAACAAGACAGTTTTTTTTTATGAATAGAATTAAAAGCTGCTATAATTCTAGTCAAAAACTACGTTTTCAAAGTGAAGCTTTTGTACAAAAGGGCAAGGGGCCATCGTGCATTTCAAGGGTGGTATCTGTTTAACATTTGTAATTAATTTGTATTATAAATAAATAAACAATATTTTTTTTCTAATTTTTGTCACGTTTTTTATGTATAACTACTACAATATGAGCATTTTCTCAGGAATAAGGAAAACAACTTCTCAGGAAAACTACGACACTGAGATAAAAGTCCTGTCACTGGTGTATTTATAAACTTGCCTGACCTATCGCGTGACAAGTCACTAGATTCTGACGGAAATATACTGGAGATAAAATAGAAACGACCAAAAAACGTGTGTGGGAATGTACCATGTTTTTCTTTGGTTTAAAATTGTGTGTGTACGTTTTAAATTGAAATAACTTTCTGACTGTATATATAGAAAATCAGTAAATCTTTTAATCATTCTGATCTTAACTCTCTATCTTCCTATAGTTCGCTATTTTTTGAAACATCAGGTTTAAAAAAATAAGATCGTACAGTTGTTCAAAGTAACTTTATTACGCTGTGACAGTAAATACCCATTTCACGTATAATTACTAAAAATTTCTTATCAAAAATAATCTAACTACATAAGTCAGGAGGTAAGTAATTTAAAAACCATCTTTTAAATGAAAGAAGGCAATTTTGAAAAACACACCGACTAAAAATACTTGACATAAATCATTATACCGGAAACCCAACACCTATAATGATTATAGTGCATTGATTCATTAGGGCCCTCTCTGTTAACAATATTTGGGACCCTAATTTTAATATCTCACAAGGTTTGTTCTGCTTATGTAATCCAAGTTAGTCTTAAACCCATATGCTGATCTAAAATTAAATATTATAGCTTATTTTAAACATTATTAAGATAATGCAATGAAACTAGCTATAAATAAAAATGGGTAATTTATTACTTGCAAAACACATAAAAACCCTATAAATAAAATGGAGTAATTTGTTACTTGCAAAACACCAGTAGGTTGATACTAAGATCTATTTATACAGCTTGCTATTAATGCACGAAACTTGAATATGCTGAGAAGCGTTATTGTGTTTGCAACAAGGAGCATACAACGTCAAACAGCGGATGTTACAAAAAATACTAAAATTCAGAAACAAAAGAACACTAGCCCGTCCATCAATAGGATTATACCGATAATCTATCATTGAAGGCCTATATAATCGTGACAACAGTGTCAAGAATTCTTTATATAATCCGTTCGTACAATGGCGAATGGACACCAACTGCGTGAGTTTAAATTTGATATCACAGATAAACAAACAGCTTTCAAGATATTTATTAATATTTAACAGTAGAAGCGGAAGCTGGAAGATACAGGAAGTAAGGCCTAAAAAGAGGAATTAAGCTACCTTCATTAACTCGAACTAATAAACAAAGGTTATTGGAAATAAACAATTAATATGTGAATATGTTCATAAGAATATTAACAAATACTTTGGGGAATGATCAGGTGGTTGATATTCCATTCATGTAAATGAGGCGATTCTGGTGTTGAAAAATCCCGCATCTGCTTCCTTAATAGCCGTAAAAAGAAAATATAAACACTGCCGATGCGTATTTTCCTACCCACGACTGTATCTTTACATATTCTTTTACTTTCAAGAATTGTTAGTAATTTAGAAACAATATTATGTGTGAGTAAAAAAATAATCTTATATGAAAATAATTTAGCAAAGTTACCGTATAGAACCGTACTTTATTTAACATTTATAATTGGTCAATCTGTTCTTTGCACTAAATTATTGTTGTAACGCTGTTCTTTCTTTGCGGTTTTTGTTTAATTGTCTGGTGAAAACTCTAGCAAGTTCAGTCCTCTTTAGGAGAAGAAATCAGTATATTTCCTCCTTAATTCTTCTTTTACACTTTGTAGGCCTACGCTTAGAAATAATGTTATAACCTCTCTGACAACAGTACTTGGACTAACTACAATCACTCCACTTTCTTAAAGTTGCGCGATAACTCTTTCTTATCTCTGCTACCTCTACTACTACTAACTTTCTCGTCACTCTTGGGCAAAATCATTGGTATGAAAACTTTTTACCTTATTTTAATAAATTGCAATGTTTTATTTCTATAGTGCTTCTGGTGTCCCCTAGTGCCCTTCAAATAAAAGCAGGTGGTGCAGGTGTTATATAGAGATGGTAATCATTTTCACACCTAAAAATACTAAATATTGAACCCCGTAAGAGACTCACTGTCTTGTGGGTTCCATTTTTGATATACTGCTTGTTGGTCTCATGCTGTGGATGAGCAGACTTGAATCCATTTTCTGATTATACTAGCTCAGACATGACGATCATTTACCCAACTTTCTACACTGCTCCCTTCAACTGAGTTTTGAACTTTTTCTTCTTCTTCATTTCAACCCTTGTAGATCCTCTTCCATAATTCTGACATTACTGTTTCTCAATAGGTTATTTACAAGACAACATAAGATTAATCAATGCTTATCACACTACCAACAGACTACTTACGTTTTCTTTTGTAATAAGCCAATTCTATGACGACAGCCTTACATTAGAGCTTTGGCTAAACAACTGAGCTTTTAAATTCAACCAAATAAAGGCAACTAATTGTATTAGCAATGAAAAAACAGTTATTTACGTATTCAAAAATAGCAAGAAATTTAAGAATTAAAATGTGAACATGCTACGAGGAAAAGGAAAACAGGAAATTTTGAAGGATTAACTGAAGTGGTTATTTAAGTATTTCTGTCGAATAGACTACAATTGTGAATTTTGTTAAAACATTTTTACAACCAAATTTTTTCACAACTTAATAAATCTGGTTGTATCTTACACAGTATTGGATATCATCTAAACAACTCACTATAAAGAGTAAACTATCTTGAAATCACACAGTAAAATACTAAATGTAGGCTTACACGGTTTTTACAATACTGGTCTTTAACTTAACAGATTAACAAACCTAAAAGACTAACTGGGTAGGGATATTCATGCACAAAACAATTATTCTATAAGTTCGATTAGATAATCCAGATCCCATATCTCACGTTCAACTCGGTAGCCTCCCTTCGATTAGATAAACCAGGTCCCATATCTCACGTTCAACTCGGTAGTCTCCCTTCGATTAGATAAACCAGGTCCCATATCTCACGTTCAACTCGGTAGCCTCCCTTCGATTAGATAAACCAGGTTCCACATCTCACGTTCAACTCAGTAGTCTCCCTTCGATTAGATAAACCC